TGTTCCTAATGTGTTCAGTCTGGCAAGGTAGACCTGAGACTCCCTGAGAAGAAATGAAAGGACAAAGAGTTGCTCATTGTAGGTGGTGCTGGACAACACATGCTGACAATTACTGTGTGATCTGAAAATGTGTATTTTGCTTATATTTCCCTTACAGCAGAGGCAGGCAGAAAAATAACAAACTGTGCTTCATCTTTTTTCTTTTTCCAAAACCTACAATTTATTCATAGAAAAACACTTGCAGGCAATCTGTAAGGTTTCAGAACAGGGAGAGCAGGGAGAAATACAGCCTAAAGCAGCAAAAAACAAAAACTAAAAAAAAAAAATTAAATGCAGTGAACAAAGCTCCATCAACCACCAGAGAACCACCACCATGTTTCAGTTTGGTTTAGAAACCATAGCCTGCACTGACTGAACAATTTGGTTTATACTTTCAACTTATTCCTCGTGTGGGGATCCAGTTCTCATGTCTCAAGCTAAACATGAGTACCTAGGAGAGAATAAACCCTTGGCATAAAATGAACATATGATGTTTCTATAGACAGTACTGAAAGGAACTTTCTCTCCTAGACACAGAAAAAGTGAAAAATAAACAGTTCTACTGCAAAAGTATTTGCAGGACCACACTATTCTCATGCTTATCAGTCAGCACAGATCTCAATGGAGACACCAGGGAAATGGAGAGCAGTGGGATGTAAGAACTTCCATCAGATACAGGAGCACCCACAGGAGCAGGTCATGGGGAAACTGAGCTCTGCTGTGGCCAGCATTGTGTTTATGTAACACCTACAGGGAAAATCGGTTTTGGTTACTGTAATTACCAGCCAAGATGCCTTCCCTTCCCTCAAGCAACAGTTCAGACAGGAAACTTAGCTAAGGATTAGAAAAAAAAAAAATCACATTGCAAATAAGATCCTATTCAACATTAAATAATGAACAGCATGAACAGCCTTTTGTGGATTAGATGGCATACTGCAACAGTGCCTGCAAGCAAACTGGGCAGCAGAAAATGCTGTGTAATAAGCAACTAATAAAAAGCACCCAGCACATGAGTGCTGAAAGATTGCCTCACCTCTTTTATGCAGTGACTCTTGGCTTCTATATACACCTAGACACCTTGATTTGCTCATCTCTCTAGATTTTTTATGACATAATGATCATCTCAAGCCATTTGAAAGTGCAGCAAAGGGGGGACATCCATGAGCAACTTTGTTAAGCACAGCAAATGCCCATAGTGACTCACCACACTCATCCATTTTTTTCTACCTGAATAAAAACCTACCACTAAAACAGGAAATTTCAAGTTTCAAAGGTTCCAAGTATAAAGTGTTACAAGACCATGAAAAATGCTGTCACTATTCATTTTTGTGTTTCACTTGACTCACTCAATCTGACTCCATAACTTCATACTGTAGCTTCGACAACTAATCCTACAACCACATTTGAATTAGAGGAGCAGGATAGGTCTAACAGCCTATTAAATAGCAATGGCACTTGGTTTCCCATATGAATGATACTTTCTCCTGCCTATTAATATTTCATTATACCAAGTCTGTCTACCAAACAGCTAAAAAGTTCAGATCAAATTAGGGAAAAAGACATTATAGTCTACATTTTATTAGCAGACAGCATGCAATTGTGGAGTAAGCATTTTGTAGGAAGAATGGCAAGCTATATCCTCAGTTCTCTAGTTGGATAGCATAGTGATGGCTGATGAAAGCTTTTCTCCTTGCATCCTACAGGCTGTTTCCAGGACAGTTAATGTCTGGCTGTAGTGTTAGCTCCCAATAAACATCTCATTACTTTGCTCAGTTCTGTTCAACAATCCCCTTTCAAAAACAATCACCCAACGCCATCAAAACTTATCCAGTTTTCTATTTTCTGGTTTTGTATGTCTCACATTATGTAATTTACTCAGATGGTGACCAAGGGATGTAGTGTTGAGGTCAAACATAAGTTACAGAAGAAAAAAAAAAATCTTATGCTGAGGAAAACTGCTTCTTGATGTGTAGTTAATTTTTAATGCAGCATGCACTTGGGAAAGCCATGAGAGAGTTAAACCTGCCCCAGACCTCACCAGCTGCTCTGTGCACTTCCGAAATAACCTTGGGAAGGAGCTAGCAACAATCTGTGTCCCAGCTCCCAGAATGCCAGGCATTCACACATCACAGCAACAGATGCTCCATTACAGCACTGCAGCCTTCTGTGCTGGCACACTTTCATTTGTTCCCAGCCATCATCCCCCCACTGACCTCCTACAGACCTCAGATCAAAAACAAAGCAGGGGAAACTGCAGCCAGGATCCCAGACAAAATGCAGCTTTCCCTCAGTATGATGGTACCTGACAAACCAAAACCAGAAGCACTCCAGAGTTCAGCTACTGTCACAGTAAGTATCACACAATGACAGTGTCATTAAGACAGTGCTTACATTAGTAAAATTAGCATATAACAATTGAACCTGGCAGAACTCTTCCCATCCCAAGAAACCAGCATCAGATTTTCCCTGTTACTTAATCATCACAAAACAAGATGTGATTGGCCCATACAAAACCAAGAAGCACACCCTGGTTGTTCGAATAGGTCACAAGGTTGGCTCAGATATTGCTTAAAAAGATGGCCCTTAACTTCAGCTTCACTCCCAAGAATCTTGGAAAATATAGTGCTGGTTATCAGTACCCCAGACAGCTGGGTGAAGTTTCTATTTCCACAGACCTTCTGTGTCACAACTGATACTGAATTTTTTTTTTCTGCATTATAAAGGGATCTCAAAGTAAAATCTTCCCAAGCACATAGAACAGTCTCCACATCAGTTCCTTTTCACATAAGTGTTTGCCAAAAAGATGATACTCATGGGAAAATATTTTTTTTACACTCAACTAGGAATGTTCAAACAAGTTCATTCCTATAACTGTAGGAAAATTATGACACAGAGCAAGCACGAGAATGAATGCAAACAAACCCTATCTGTGAACTTACACTTGAAATAATATACACATAACTGGTATAGAGAACTCAGATACTAATTAAAAAAAGGAGCAGCAACACTTGATTTTTTTTTGCCAAAATGTGCATAAGACATTCAACCTAGAGCTGGTTATGTAACCTGAAATAGCCTAGCCTTAAATCTCCTTCCCTTCTATAACCTGCTCTTACCTACAGTAAAAAGGTATCTGTACCTGAAGAGCAATATGCATCAGTTCATATTCTTTGTTTCAGAATTTGTATCCCTTGCAAGCAAACAGATCTGAAACTCAAGCCAAAAAACAAGTCCCTGAACTGATACACAGCAGTTTTCAATACACAACATACAGTGCTCAAGCAACTCTGCATTAGCACAGCCAAAAAAAAGCTCTGAGCTTTAGAGTGCTCCCATGCATCTGATGTGGAAGTCTTCAGGCAGAAGAAGATGAAGGCTGGGAGAATGACCAGCAAACAGTGGGTGGCAGCCATGTCCAGTCCTTCAGCTCTCCACCTGATGAGCTCACCAGCCAAAAGTCCTATAAACCATCTCCCACTAGGTCTGCATTTTTTATGGGCCCCCTGGGAGTCCAGACAGAGGTCATCTCTATGGTCACTGTGTCGTGCAGCTATTACAGGAACCTGGAACAACTGAAAACATTACACTTGGGCAGAGAAGTGTCAGGAGGCTGAGCTGTTTCATTCATGGGCCTGACAAGTTCATGTGAGGGGATTTTGTGGCCTTTTGTCTCCTCTGTTCTTTTCTTCTGCTCTGTCCTGGCAGGTGTCATTAATAATCCTGTAGTGGATTTCACTTGGTCTGACCTCTGTTTAGGAGAGAGACCACAGTGAATCCTCTTGAAGGATCAGGGAGGAGCCTGGGTGTTATTCCAACACCAGCTCTGCCTGCTTGTGAGAACCCCCAGAGAGCTGCACAGAGAGCATTTGAGAGGGTGGGAGCATTTACAACAGTGCCCCTTTTGATAGGTGTTTCTTGGTAGCCAGTTACCATATTGAAGGAAATAATCCTTGCAATCCCCATTTAGGACAGGACATGTGTACACACAAACAGATCAGGGTTTTTTCAGTCCCATCACCAGGATATCAAGTGGCAGCAAAAACGGCACAAAATGTTCTGCCCCATGAAAATCTCAGATGTTAATGAAACCGTAACAATTGCCAGGGAGCCAGCTTTCCTGTGTTCTGGGAAAGCAAACACAGATTTGATGTGCCAGGGGTCTCATATTCCACCAAAAACAAACAGCTTCAAGGGTTAAAGCCAGCAGAAGACAGATGTGCTGCCTTTTCCCATCAGCCACCCATAGCCTGTGCCAAGTCTGCTTGAGACCACAGAGAGAACTAACTGGAAGTCAGCTGAGGCAGCCTAAGTATCTCTTGCATAGCACAGGTCTGGAAACATTCATCCTTCCCTCAACAGCTGTCTTCAGAAGGTCTTCAAGGAATAATTTGGGATACAGAGGCAATTGGACAATGAAACCCTCAGATCATGGCTATAAATACTGCCTTTCCCCACTGCTATTTTAGTTAAGGGCCGGTCATGCCACCCTTACGCATACTATTCAATTCACTTGCATTAACTACTCAGAAAATGTGTTATTAATGAATTGACTTTCCAAAAGCTCATTTAGCTCCTAATTCCACCAGCTTTCAGTAAGATGCCCAGCTGTCATACATCTCAGAGCCTGTATCTCAAATGGACAGAACCAAGTGTATCCCTGATCTCTCCTGGCAAAGTTTGTGCACCTGATGCCTTTTACAACCCAGAAATGAAACAACACACACTTTCAAGGTAATATTAGTGTAGGAGGTAATATAGAAGCTGGTCTTTGTTGGAAGCCTCCAGAGGCAGTTATGGAGAAATGTCCACGGAAGTCCACCCCTCACAGGGGTGCACACAGTTTTACAAGTTTAGTAAATTAGCATAATAGTCAAAACCCACCAATTAGGAGCACAAGGGGTGATGCAGTCAGAAGTGAGAGGAAAGTTAATGTCTTTACAAACAATTTGATGGGTGAAGGTATGGGCATTAACACCTTTGAAAAGAGTCTTAAAGTCTCTACTAACTTTGGGCAGCAGGTTTGTTACATAGCCCAGAGACCTTGGCTCCAGGTTCAGACAAGAAAAACAAGAGTCGATACAAGCCTGAACTTTGGGGTAAACTAACAAGTTCAAGGAGGGAACATGGGGTCAGCTGTTCAGGAAGGCTGTACCTTCCTAGTGTCACCAAAACTGCAGGAAAATCAAAAGCCTCCAACAATATTTTTAGTGTTAGAGAATCAAGGCATTACTTTTTCTGGCAACAGAAATAATTTCATCCACACATAGCCCAGATAAATATTCCAAACAGTCCCTGGAGCTGCAGTTGCTGGTGCCCAATGCCCTGGATTACATTCGAACCATCAAGGAATTGTAGAATTCCTTGGATAACTGCAAGAATGAGAACGCGCAGCAGATCTTGATCAACACCACCATCATGGTGGTCAGTGTGGTGGCAAGGGGGGCAGCAGCTGTCAGAGGAGGAGCTGGGCAGGATGGAGGAAGCTGAAGGAACACTTGGGGCTAACAGAGACCTGCAAGCAGGCCAACAGGATGAGCTCTGGGGAGATGGAGGAGGACATCTACCAGGAGGAGCTCAGGTTTAGCCTGGGCCACCTGGGCAAGGCCAGCAGCGGCCATGTGCGCCAGACCCAGGTCAACAAGGCCACCAAGGCCTGGATCAGGAAAGCTCTGCAGAAGGCCCTTCAGAAGCTGAGTGTCATCCACAGCAGAAAATCCATAATCCAGGGCCGCAGCTCAGGGATGGCCTCGAGCACGGCCTTCACCCCCCTGCAGGGGTTGGAGATGGTGAACCTGCAGGCAGCCAGGAAGAAAGTGGTTGAGGCCAACCAGAACTATTTCTCCAGCCTGGCCAAGTTTGTCAAGGTGAAGGGGAACAAAAATGGGATCCCCATTCCCCCAATCCCACTGAGATCCCCAAATCCCACCCTGCGACCCCCAAATTCCCAAGGATTCCACCCCAATGTCACTTTCCCGAACTTCTTATAAATATTGGAATTTGTGGTTGAAGCATCTGGGGGGGAATTGAGGGTGTCACCATGATATTTTACGAAAAATCCCTTCACCAGGATTTTTCTCCTGAGAAGCTGAGAAGCCTCAGAAACAAAATGTAAACAATAATTATCTGATTGCTTGGAATGTGGTTTGGAGGTTGTTTACTAACAGGTGCATCTTTGATTGGTTCCATGTGAATTGTTTTTGCTTAATGACCAATCCCAGCCCAGCTGTGTCAGGCTCTCTGATCAGTCACAAGTTTTTATTATCATTCTTGTCCAGCCTTCTGATGTCTCCTTTCTCTTTCTTTAGCATAGTTTTAGTAGATCTTTTCTTTTAATATAATAAAATATCATAATATAATAAATCAGCCTTCTGAGAACTTGGAGTCAATTCTCATCTCTCACCTCATCCTGGGGACCATCACAATTACACCACAACAATTGGTGACCACACGAGGGGGGAGTCAGGGAGTCCTGGAGGGATTTTGGGGGGTCCTGGGGAAAAAAAATTAAAAATATATAGACTACAGAGTTACAAATATATGTGTAAAGAATGCAGACAATACATAAAACAAAAAAAGGCAAAAATCAATAGGCATCACACCCACATAGTACTTGGGTATTTAAGAAGTCACCATGGTAACATCTGCATTGCAGCCCAGAACGAAGCAGGCCTTGCTACATGTCCTCTGCTAGAACTACTGAAGCCTGACTTTTTATTCCTTACAGTACATTAGGGCCAAAATATCAGCCCAAAAAGGAGACAACAAAACTCTGGCCACTAAGTAGTACATTTAATGAGCAAATAACTGTAGCCAGACCTGTTGGTTTTCCTGGGCATTCAATTGGCTGAACTTTATGCAAGGGAACTTAAACCAACAGAAACTGATTAAGAGCTGGGCCTGGATTAAGTTGTGTTTGTGAATTTTACAGCCTCAAAATCAATCTAGAACTACAGATGACAAACTTGTATATTAGTACAGCTTCCTAAAATGAGAAATATGTTCCTGGGAGAGTACATCACATGAAGCAGTACACAGGTCTCATTTCTCAAGTTGTATTTTTAATATCTCAAAAAATAAAAATATAAATATATAGTCTAAGAGTCCTCTCCATACCCTTGAAATCCATCACCCATGGCACCATGAATTCTGGACCACCTGCATGTGTTTGGTTTGTTAACACAAGCCCTGTTTATTTTCTGTCACTCAGAGCAGGCAGCTGCTCACACACTCTGCACCAGTGAGCCCTGGCTCCCTGTGTCCTTAACTCTCCCACTTTAATCCCAGAAGAGGGCTGATGTGCAAGATACTGACCTTATCTTCTAAAGCAAGGTGTGGAAATACAAACATGTTCCATAGCAGCAGCTTGGGAAGAGTTATTTGAGAGAAGGAGCAAATTCCTGTCTGCTTTGTTGTATCACTTCAGACAGCCTTTGGTTATTTTGTCCACAAAACATTGAAAGACACCACCTCTGACATCTTCTCCTGTGCCTGGCACAAGCTGCTAAACAAGCCTTCGTAACATGAAAATCATTGTTATGAAGGATTGCTTCTCAATCATTACTGACCTAAAAGATTGTGGGTAATACCACATCTAAAAACACCTGCAAAGTTTTCTTTCCACCTCAGCGTTATTCCATGTTCTACCTAATGATGCAATATAATGGCAAATACCAACTCTGCAATCATGGATTAAGGACACCAAAGAGACATTTATCAATTTTCTCAGTGCCTTTTTTTTTTTAATAATCAGCTCAAAAGACACTTGATCTTCTGTATCAAAAACCAATAGGTAATTGAGAAAGCTAAAAGGATAATTCATTTCAGCCAATGCCAAAAACTTCTGTATCCATCAAAATTAAGATTCCACTGAAACAAAAGACCAGTAAACCAGAAGTTATCCTATAGAGACATATACCTCTATACCCCATTAAGTACAACTGTCACTTGCATTTAGTGAAAAAAGTGTCATGTTTCTGCTTACTGGGGAATTTTGTAATTCTAAATTTCATTTGAACCATTCTTCCAGCTCCTTCAACTGCCAGTCCTTGGGGGTTTTGTTATGCAGGCCCTAGGAATACATGGACCAGCTGCAACAGCTGGGATCCAGTTTCACTTTCTGTCTTATCTTACAGATCTACAAACACTTAATGTCAAACTTCAGAAAATCAATCCAGACCACACCCTTTGAAGTACAGCATGATGCTTTCTGCAGTTTGCTTTTGTGGGGAACTTCTGCACAAGTCCAGGCCTCCATCAGCTGCATGTTTCCTCCCAACATCTGTGGCACTGCAAACATCGGACCAGATACCTTGAAAACTATTAATAACAGAATGAGGTAGCTATAACAAACAAAACAGCAGTAAATATGCTCAGCTGGTTCCAGTTCTCCTCTTACCCCTGCCTAACTTGCATTTTCCTCCACCTCTCTCATGCCATAAAGTCAGCTTCCTTGCATACACACTTTCTGTTTATAATTTGGAGTCAATGCAGAAGTTGCTCACAATTAGGAATTACATTTTTCTGAAGATATTAACTCCTGTTTATTTCAAAATAAAATTCTGCATGTCCTGAGTTCCTCTTAAAAATGTTTATAAATCATTCCACAAGGGTTTTTTTTGGAAATCATGATAACTTGGCTGTGTACACATACCTCTCCCACTGTTTATAGCAAGGTTTGTGACAGCTTTTTTCTGCTTTCCTAAGAAAAGTATAGCTCATCTAATTCCCAAAAAAAGCTGTCTATTGACTTGTAAAAGCAAAGTAGCTGAAGAGCACTTTTGACTTCATGCATTATCTGGCAGCTGGTTACTAAAAAATGTTCCCAAGTACTCAGCTTTAAGATAGCAATTTAATACCAAAGGCAACAAGCTTAAAAATAACATTTTGAAGACAGAGATTTTTGAAGGAATCACAACAGAACAAATACAGAGAAGGGCAATGGACCTGGGGAAGGTCTAGAGGACAAGTCCTGGGAGGAGAAGCTCAGGGGGCTGGGGTTGTTTAGCCTGGAGAAGAGGAGGCTCAGGGGACACCTTATCACTCTGTACAACTGCCTGAAAGGAGGTTGTAGAAGGTGGGGGGTGGTATCTTCTCCAAGAGAACCAGCAGCAGGATGAGAGGAAATGGTCTGAAGCTGGGCCAGGGGATGTTCAGGCTGGAAATCAGGAAGAATTTTTTCACTGAAAGGGTGATTGAGCATTGGAATGGGCTGCCCAGGGAGTGGTGGAGTGTTTTGAGAAACAACTGAATATGGCACTTAGTGCTGTGGTCTTTGGTCAAAGGTTGTGCTTGATCCTGGAGGTCTTTTCCAGCCTTAATGATTCAATGAAGTCACAACATGAACTAAGAGAAACAGATAATTGTGTGTCAGTGCTGCCAGAGCAGCTTTAACTGAACCCTGCCACGGCCAGACATTGTTTATATTAATTGCAATTAACATGATGTTAATTAAAAGTTATCTGCCAAAGCAGAGCTCATAGCAAGAGGCATTGATGTAGAAATGGACAGCCCTGCTCTGTGTTCTGTAAAGTTAAGTGCTTTCTTTTGCCAAGCCAAGAATCAAATTCAACCCTCAACACTGACATTCTTACAAATAGCTTGGTCCCTTAACAGAAAGAAGATTCAATTAATTATTTACACTTCTTTATTGCATTATTTTACCAAGTCTGTTAAAAACACAAATCTTAACCTCCACCCTGCCTCACTCAGAGAAGCATTAGAGATGTACAAGCATCACCTTGTCCTTCTCAGTTATTTAAAAACAACACCAAGCCCCCTGACTTGCACTCAGCATCACATGCTGTAGGCACACAATTGCAAACTCTGAAAAGTATTCATTTCTCTGCCTGTACTGTTCTCAAACCCTGGCAGAACAGAAGGAAAACCATCTATAGGATATGGGAACATCCCTGTTGTACTCATCCAGTAATAGTGGCACATAGCAGGTGACAGAGTGGCTTCTATTTTGAGGTTATTGGAATTCCAGCGTATTTTAAATACAACACCACAGCAAACTTGTGTATATTTGATGCTTCTGTAAACTAAACTGAGCCTCCTCAAGACATCCTCTTCAGGACAAAAATCATTGTTACAACACACCATCTCCTGCCAGCACTCATAAACAATTTAAACTATCTCTAATACCTATACATGCTGCAAGCGAAGCAAAAGACCCATCTCTAATTTTAAACTCTGGAGTTAAAGCCTAGTGAAAGATCAAGTTAAGCAAGCTGCACACCAATATTAAAGGAATTTTAAGTCCATGAGGGGAATTTTCAGGTTAAAAAGGCATCAACTCCACAGAAAGCTTTGCTGGTATGGTTTTAGTAGAGGTTGCCATTTAAAAGTCATACATATAAAAAGCCACTTTTATCAAATCAAGTGTTGCATCTGCTTTTATGCACATATTCTAACAGGACTGTCAGTGAAGAAGATACTGAAAACATGCAAGTTTAAAACTGAAGACCAGTTGAATGTGTCATGAATCAGGCTGTGGCAAATCACAATAGTGCTTACTTAATGGCCTCTCATGCAGACACAGAATCATTTTATAACCCAGAACAGGAAATTAATTATTATGAGTTTCTACTCAGCATTTCTGAGTTTTTGTGAGGGTTTTTTTGCACACCTGAACAAAAACCTTTTCTTTTAACTGTAGCAAAATTATGAGCTTTCAATTTCACATAGATGCTTACAGAGGGAATGGTTAGTGACTGCTCCAAACAGCAGAGGACTGAGCTGGAAGAGACCTCTAGAGATAATCTTGTTCCAAGGCACCTATTTCACATAGGTTATCTACAACAGACTGTCTGGGACCAGGTTCATTTGGGGCTTGAATAGCCCAAGAATGGAGATTTCAGAGTCTCTTTGAGAAACCTCTGATCCTTCTTGACCACTTTCACAGGAGAAAGATTTCTTATCTGTTGCCTTTTGCCCTTTCACTGGTGTAAAGCAGAGCAATTTAGCTCTGTCACCTTTAGTGCCTGTA